GCCAACAACATATAAGAAAGAGTAAAATAGACCCTTTTACTCAGGTACAGTATGTACAGTTGGCACTCCTGGTGCTTAGAAGAGCCTCACCAACACTTTTGGTGATAATTCAAAATAGAAACGTAAATTAAAACTAAACCTAAATTTCCGAAGCTGCACAGAGATATTTTAACGTATAGTTGGCACTTGAACTTACCACCGATGTAGACTTAACCGGCAAATAATATGGAAGCCAAGAAACAACGTGGCCAAAAGGCAGAACATGGTCTGTCTGAAGTAACTCAGAAACCAGCTTAACTAGTAGCTTTCTGACCTACTCTGCATAATGCCCAAAAGTGAAATCTCATTCTGGCAAGAGAGCATGGGTTGAAAGAGCGAGCAATAGGAAAGGTTGCTTCAAAAATAAAATTAACTGTTAATTAAATTAAATAAAACCCTTAAACGAACAAAATAAAACCTCATTAAACAAACAAACTAAAACTCACAGAATTTTATCATTTGCACCATGGAACGTAACTGAAAAAAAATCTTTCAAATGAACATGCTACATGTTCTATGAAATTTTTAACGTAATTTCTACTAATGTTATATGCTAGATGAAAATAATACAATATTTTATATGAAAATAGTATTAAAAAGTAATGTTATATGAAAGCAATGTAAATCTAGGTTTTGTAATGAGTTATATGATATTTTTAAAGGTATTTTTACCTTCCTTCCGGCATGCCTTCGTATTGTAACGGTTAGTTCACTTGTAAATCGAGGTTCCAGAGGTCCAGGTTCGAGGCCCGGCAAGGGCATTGCTCATTTTTTATGTCTTCTGCTTAAAATAATCTAATGATTCTACAATGGCACCCAAACTAAAAGGTGGTGGATGATGATACTTCATCACCAATATTTGGCGATTGGGTCCCCTAAACCCCAGTCGCCCTTTAAAAGAGGAAGTATTTTCTCCCTCCTTCTGTAACTTCGTGGTGTAATGGTTAGCACAATCAGCATGTATTCGAGAGGTCCAGGTTCGAGCCCGGTGAGAGCACTGCTCAGGTTTCCTGCATCCTGCCTCAAAATAACCTAATGACTCTACAAAGAAATTTGGGGCCGAATTTACAAAAATCGTTCAATTTTTTCCGACCATTTAAAGCAGTTTCTTAAACGTTTTTCAGTCGCGACCCCTTTTTATTACTGAGATTGTTTCGTGACCCCCTGGACCCCATATTTACAAAAATTTTGTTTGACCCCATAAGTATTGCGCAAATCCCGCGCATGCGTGAGCCAAACTGTCAATTTTTGCACTTGTACTGTAATATACTATATCAGTTTTAGGGATTAACTTTAATTTATAATTTTAAGACATAGAACAAGGTCATAATTTTAAATAAGTAACAGACGAAATGACAGCGTCACGTTCAAAGCAAGGGAAATGAACGCTTCTATTATAAAAAGAATGCGTCGAAACGTTTTCGTTTTTTTTTTCTTTGTCTGTATTGTCTTATTTTTTATCTATTTTCAGATACATTGTGTAAAAATATTTGGTAATTGAAAAATTATTATAATAAGTTAAAGAAATATCCGAACTGCTAAAATTTTTGGCGACCGTCTGCTGCAGGTACCGCAATCCACAGTTTAAGAAACCCTAATTTAAAGCATCAAAATCGTTGGAAGTAAAGGAGTGACAACATGTAACTGAAATTTAAAAAGATGAAATAAAATTACTTATTTTAATAAACGAAATTTTAAACGTTTTAAAACTTTTTTTTATTAAAAACCTCATCAAATAGTTAATGAATTGAACTAACACACTGAAACAATCAGCAACACAGTCTTCAGGTTATAATGGTGAAGAAAGCTTCACGGCAAATCACCACAGTACAGCTCCCGACACCGTTTGGTCGTTCTCAGAACTCAACGTACTCTCCACACTATAACTCGCAATGCACTCTCACGACAACGAACTTGATACTAGACTGACGATCAATTCGCTAGACGAGGCACTGGACTCTCCTTTGCTTGCAAGCAGGGTTTATCTAGCTTTTGAGCTGCCTTCAAGAACATTCTGGTCCAAACCGGTATGAATTCATTCCAGAAGGTTCTCTATCCATAAATGGCATATCGTTAATGTTGTAGTCAAATGGATGACTTCTTGCCAAATATGGCAACACTACCCTGCTTTGCGGCGAAGCTAACTTACCACAGCTGGGCTTTTCATAACATAATAAGTCGCCAAAATGGAAAGTAATGTCCCTTTATTATAAATATGCCTGAGAAAAATTAAAATGTTTTATTTTAATGTTATTTCTTAAATATAATTTTAATATACTACCAATATTTTAATTAAATTTATCAATGTTATAAAGTTAAAAAAAAAAATCGTCGAAAAAACCCAGATCTCTGAATGAAAAATTTTCTACAGAAACTCATCTTAAAATCGCCAAATTTAGAACCATTTAATAAAAGAGTTCACACCCCCAAAAGAGAAAATATGTTTTCTTAGAAAAAATGAAATAATATCGAAATGTTTATGTTCCACTTCTTGCCCGGGAACTCGAGTATCCCACCGTTTATATTAGAAATTGAAACAAATTATAACCCATTCAAAAGATAACCATATTCGTTAGTAAATCGCCAAAAATATTATTCCAAAATAGTAATTCATACTCAACATGGGTATTTTCTCTTACTATTTGGTATTCGTAAAAACAGACAGAAATTTCAGATAATTAAAATTAAGGATCTTCTGTCGAACTGAAATTTATTTATGTTGCACATGCATATTAGAAAAATTATGAAAACCCTCTGCAGCCAACCTGTTCAATAGATCGGGACAAACTACTAGAGTTCAGCCATCTGACCCACTCAACCACAGGTTGTTGGAAAGGTAATTTGAAATCATATCGCTTTGGATATCAAAATAAACTATTAATTTGATTTACTTCTTTTATTTCTCTTACTATGAATTTAAAATCGATGATGTATTATGTTCTGAACAACTGTTTTCAATGTGGGGTAGATGGTAAAATTTTGCAGTAAGCAATGAAGATCCAAGATTAAAATTTTATAAAAGTCTGAAGATAAATATAGGGCTAGGTTCATCATTGAAGATCATTTTTTATATATTAGCGATGCATTCTCAACAATTAAAGAACTGTAAATGAGTACAGCCACTTCATTGCTACATGGATAAGACTAATGAACGCTGGTAGTTTGATCCAATGTTGGACAAAGACAATTTTGCACTGCGAGTGGAAGGCATCCCTGATATCATTTAGCAATGAATGATAATTCTAGCATCCTTGCATTAGCAATAAGTATATAACTAAATTAACCTTAAAGAAATTGGTGGCTTATGCAATTTAGTGCTTTAGATCAGTGGTCTCAAACTCGCAATCCCGGAAGTAATTTTTTGTGGCCTGTGAATATATTTCCAATAACGTATTTGTTGCAAATGCAGTGCTTATAATTTTAGAGACATAAAGATATGGACTGTGCTTATGTGTGTGATTACTATTGAAGTATAAAATGAAATAATAAATAAAATAAATGGATGCTTGCATATCAAGCTACATGACTAGGGTAATATGGAATAATTTAACACATAGTTACAACCAATTAATTAAATATGCCAGCTGACAGCTGGTGAAGCTTCAGTATTTTGAAATTTCTGATTAAGGATTCTGATTAATTTTAATTTCTGATTAATTATTTCTGATTGTTTTGTTAACAATGTTTTCAAATTTAATTGAAAAAAATTTCTGACCTGTCATTTGCTTTCAGATTCAGCATGCAATTTGAGTTCGAGACCACAGTAATATTGTTACTGTGTTTCGCAAATATGGTTACAGCCACTGCATTGCAAAGAGTGGATTCATCAACGATTTTATTCTGGGCTCGTCCTTAAAGAACTGACACCTTGAGATCTATATGGTGTATTGGCTATGAATGCATATTACTGTCAATTTCTTACACTGCATATGGTTGTAGGGACAAGGATGTTTACAGATCATCTTCAGGGATGAAGCAATATCCCTAAAATGATTTGTAAGGGAAGAAACAACTTCTTAACAGTTTTAGTGATGATCATGACATTTAAAAAAAAATTCTGTGCTGTGACTTATCTCACTTATCTGACAGTAACATCAGAACAAGCCCACAGAATTCATCATGACAAGGAGTGCAAGATTATGCCTGTTGTTGGCAAGAGCCTTGAGCACCATACAGGTGACAGTACGACTTTGCTCAGTTCCGCCCCCTCCCAATGTTGAAGCACCCTGGGGGAATGGGTCTGAGGATCTTCTCCCTTTACCTATGGCACCAACCTCTCGAAAAGAGTTTCAGCTCGCCACATATTTAGAGTGCCCCATACCTTCTCCGGGATTCGAAACCGGACCCTTCGGTGTGGCAGTTAGCGTAACTAACCATTTTCCTGGTTTGGCAGCAAAATTTTAGGTCTTGGTGTTACCATTCACAAGTCCTGAAATCACGATTCCTAGCAGTGGAATTTCTTAGAGATCATGTTTATCAGACAAGCATACAGAAACTTACAAAGCTTTAAAAAAAAAAAAAAAAAAAAAAAAAAAAAAAAAAAAGTCTCTCTAACATTTCCCAGGAACTGCTTTACAAAACCCATTGATCTGCTAATTCTTACACTTCAAATAGTTCATTCATGCAGAAGACCTGCATACTGAATTTTTTTTTTTTAAATTTATGTTTGCATTTCATACAAATTTTTATCAGAGACAAAAATCAGAATAATTATTTTCATCTTTTAAATTCTTTTTCCTGTCATCTCAATAACCTATATATGAAGCTTCAATGGACTACATTGATTAAAAAAGCTCTAGAAGGCTCTGAGCAGGAACAATTATAATCACACAGTGTATTAATGAAAGAAAATGAAAACTTGCCTGAAAATCTTTTATCACAAAATATGGACACCTTTTTCTGTTTCTTCATTTGAATAAATATTTTAAATGTTTTTATTTAAATAAATAAAATACAATTTGTCAAATTTTTGACAGGTTTTTGACTTTTTTATTTAAAAATTTAATCAATCTAAAAACTAACTTTGGGTGATCAAGGCAGCAACTGAGTTATAAGCAAATATATTACAGATATGAGATATTTCAATTAATGTGAATCAACTGTATATTGAATATGTCTGAAGAAAAAAGCTAAAATGTTCATACAATTCTTTTCACATTCATTTTAGGGTTTAAATACTTTAGATTTTAACATTTCAGTTTTAGTTTTACGTGCAGTTATTAGTTTTAGTTCTTTCTTCTACAAATGACATGCTTTTAGGTTTTTGGTTGGTAACAAAATAATGTATTAAATTATTCAAATAGAAAGTTATTAATCAAACCTGTTCACTAAAACAAGCAGTTATTAATATAAAAAAGTGTCACACACAGGTAATTACTGCACAATTAAAATAGTGTGCATGTAGTGAAAGCTTATTATATAATTTAGTTTAGCATCTCTATATGCTTATCTATGGGTAAAATGATAAGTGAAATTTCTTCTAAAAATTCTTGTATATTTTATCTGTTTAAAAATTTTAACAAAAATTTAGATTATTATGAGTTTGGAAGAAATTTAGTGTTGTTTTAATATTTATTATTAAATAATACAGAAAGTATATTTATGCAAGTATATATTGTGAGAAAACAGCAGCACCACCCACAGCCACCAATTTTGAACATACACAGAACAACTTGAAGCTTGAATTTTTAATTTGTTTCATATTTTATGCAAACCTAATGACATTTTGATTAACAGACTCAATTATTTAAAAACAATGTGTTGATATTTGGCAAAGCGTAAGATACTTACATTTAAAATGTAACCGGAAAACTCAGCGCTTTAAAGGTAATGTGTTACTTTTGCTAAAAATATATTTTTTTAATATTCCACACATCATTTGTAAAAGCATATGATATTCACTTTTTAAAAAAAATTAATTTGTATGTTACTGATTAACAAAACAATCAACTTTGAAGCAATAAACACAGTCTTTCACCTCTGTTATTAATTATCAGCTGAAACTGAGAAATTGCATTAGTTGGACTCATTAAAATCCTTTTACAATGTTATCTTTTTTTTTTTTTTTTTTTCATAATAACCATTTTAAGTGGCTAGTTATAACATAAGGGAGAAGCAAGATTTAAATCTCCATGTAAAAGGCAAAGTAAATTGCTGTAATAGGGAGGAAAAACCAACTAATGCATAAAAAGGAATAATTACATACCCAGGTATTTAACAGTTAACTTTAAAATCATTATATGCATTTCAAGTTCTGCAAGTCGAAAGCAATAAACAATATATAAAACTGGAAGCAATAGGTAATGCCTCCCAAAAATATGTATGACCTTATATATGTATGCACATAAAAAGACTATATATGAGTGTATAAAACATATATACATGTGCCTTACATAATTATTTTTTAAAACATCTACAAAACTTTTTACTGTTTATATATTTTTTTATAAAATAAAAATATATTAGTTTTATTTTCTATGAAATGAAGTAAATTGTCTGAATGAAATCGGCAGCTTAACTCTAAGCTTGAATGCATTCATAGCTTTAAAGGGCTGCTGACTTAAAAGCGCCATTTCTTCAGCATTGCTATGAATTTTGTTAAACTGGAAAATTTCCTTTTTTAAAAATTTATTTAGTCATTTAAATGTACAATTCCTGAATTATGTTATAATAGTTTTAAAGAAACATTTGCTTGGGGTAAAAACTACTATGTATGAAGCAGCATTACAATAACAGAGTACTTTAAATTACTACAGATAAAAATCCCATACAAAATGACATAGGATACATAAAGATCTAAAGAAATCAAATAACAGATACAGGCTATGAAAACTTCTGCATATATAAACAAAATATACATTTATTCATTCAATAAATTTATTCCCTATGGTGAATATCATATTTTAAATCATACAGATATTTAAAATGTAATGCATATATGATAAAATGAGTGAAAAAATTAAGGAACAAACACAATAAACTTCCTTATAAACATTGAATGCATATTTAACAAAATTACAGGACTTACAGGATGAAAAGCGTATCCGGAAAAACTTAGAACTCTAAAGAACAGTTTATAAATATAAGAAGTAATATAAAATACAAAAAATAAGGATAAATACATAAAAACAGATCACCCCTTTTTTTAAGTCTATTGACTACATAAAGAAGCATTTTCTGGGAAACATTTGGTAAACAAAATTACAGACTGTGATAAACAGCAAAATTATGACAAATGCAGGGGGGAAACTTCCAATTATATGTCACAGATTCCAGTCTGTGAAAGAAGTCTACAAAGGTAAAATAATAAACCATTTAAGTTAATTTTTTGAACACCATTTTCTAAGTGTAGAATCAATCATCAATCAAAATTAACTATTATAAACTTTATGTGAATTCAATATGTTTCTCACAAAGATAATTTATTAATAAGAAAAGCATAAATTACTATCACACTATGATAAAAATATTTCTAACACAGCTATCATATTTTCATTAGATTATGGTTCTTTTATTTTACCTTTATCCTTTTGATAATAATTAAAATGACCTACTAAACTCAAAAAATGATTTTTTTAAACACAAACAAAACTCAGCAAATTTATTAAATATACTACAATTTCTTTGTTAATGTACATCAAAATATTTCTGACTAGATAAATTCTTATGTAAAAGTAAATATATAATTAAAAGATAAATATTTTGTTATAATATAGGTCATTTTTTATATAATTTGCTTTTAGTTTGCTACAAGCAGAATTTTCTTTTTCTTTTTTTTGGTTTCATTAGCCATTTTACAGTCATTTTTTTTTTAAAAGTTCGAATTTAATAAATACAGTTTTGAGCATTATCAACATCCATATATGCATTAGGATGTGAACTGGGTATCAGCTGAAGATATAGATGAAGTCCTAGTCAAACTTAATACAACATTAGTATAAAAACCAGTAGCAGCAGAAAAAGTTGTTTTTCATTTATATCTCTAAACACATTGAAATTTCAAACAAAGCAAATAGTTAAAAAGGGGTAGAATTATTACGATTAACTTAACAGACATTATAACAGATATATAAAATATGAATTCAAACATTTAAACCCCCTCCCTCCCAAAAAAGGGCTGTTCTTAAAATGATAAAAATAGTGTACAGAAGTCAAAACATATTAAGCATCTAATCCCCCAAAATATACGTGAGATTATAGATCACATTTTGGGAAAAAGTAAATTAATTTTGAAAAATATTTACTCAAGATTCAAAACAAAGCAATTACAAAATGGAGTTACATCTATTCTAGAAATGCATTTTTGATCCAATGGTATTCACAAACCTATCTCCACACTAATTAATTTCCTTTAATTTGCTATTATAACACTTTTTGAAATATCGTGAAAATTATGAATCATTATGTAAATTTCGACTGTCTCTACACTTGATGAAAACTGTTTTTTACTGAGTTTACAAATATCCTGAATATATATATATATATAAACTTATACATATAGTGCAATTTTGATTATCCAATTTGCGAATTATCCATGAGTGGTGGTGCCCAAGCACTCACACTTAATGCCATGTGCAAAAGAGTATGTAAAAACCAAACATGTGCAAATCCAATTATTGAGAAAGATTCAACCTAATTTAGAAACTGTCCTTATCTAATTGTGAAGAAGTTGCAGCAGTAATTAATTAAAGCTATATGCCAAAAAAATTAAAAATGTTGATCAGGAAAACATTGAGGAAATGGTTCAATGGTGATTTAACTGAGCTGGGTTTTCAATGCTTGAGTGATGTGGTTTTCGTTTCCAATATCACAATAACACATAAATCAAATATCAAATCAGTTTCAAATATCACAAGACGCATAGAATGATAATGGCAATTAGATTAGTCCTCAGACAACAGTGCCTTTTGTTGAAACTCTATTGAACTTTGTTGATCAAAGGGGATTCGAAGATGATGTTAAATAGCACTTTATAAACTATGCAGGAAAATACAAAAAATATTTAAACATTCTCAAATACAAAATAAAATTACTAATTCTTTTTAAGAATTAAATGCATACAATATGCATGGAATTTGATGGTTTGGATTATCATTGTTTTCCGATTATCCATGACCTGCTTTCCTATCAGGGATAATTGAAATAATTGTTATAGACGATTTCCATGCTTGATTATCCAGCCTAAGCCTGGATAGTCAAAAGTACACTATAATAAGTTCAATGAAATAATTTTTAAAAAATTTGCGATGAACCAAATTTTAATACTATGGTTATGATATTGATATAAGCTCATTAAATTACAACATTTCTTGTAAATATTTCAAAATATTTTCTAAAAAATCAAGAAGATATATGGTTTCCTTTTAAATGAGAAAAACTTATCAATAATGTAGATACACAAAGAACAGATTTAAAAAAGAAACAAACAACAAAAACTTCATATTTTGGAAATAAAAAGTATCTTATTTTCCTTCTACATAAAATAACTTCATTAATGATTACACAAAATGAATCAAGTTACAAAAGATCTTATATATATCTTTTATAATGACAAATTTATTAACAAAATGCTTACCCTGCATTATACAAAGATTTTGCTTTATACATGCTGATGGCATTTTGCGCACAAGTTTTTGAACTAAAAAAACAATCCCCCCTTAAAAAAGAAAAACTGATGGCAAAATAATAGCAGAACTAGTACAATAATATGCGCTTCTCAACACCTTTACGGCAGATTGGGCACTCAGACATACGATCCCCACACATTTGACATGTTCCATGGCCACAAAGGAATATCATGTTCTTCAGACGATCCAAACATACAGGACACATTGTCTGCAACATAAATAATATTACTTAACAAACACAATAATAATTTTGTGAGGTGAAGATTAAAAAATATGTCTTTATTTGTCAACGCTCTATCGACAGAAAAATTTCAGTTGGCACTCCTCGCACCTCCATTATTTGTTGACTGAAAGCCCAGAAATTTTTTTTTCACCAGTGCTTAATGAACACAACCCTATCAACTGGCTTTTTTTCCCTAACTGCTAAATGACCAAATTCCCATAAGTTGATATTTTACTGTTTTACACATTAGCTGGATTCATTTTCAGTTGGAAGTATCTAAATTTTGTCCTACCAAATGAATACTCTTAATAAGAATAAAGAATTGTGTGTAACTGATTTGTTAATATTACAGTAACTTTTAGTCAGGGCTGATATACACTGTTTGTCCTCTACTGCAAATGTATACTCACTTCCCTTTTTTTCCCTCAAAATTTTTTTTTCTTTCAGTTTACTTCATCATTAGGATAGAGCAAATAATACATGCAGCATACAAATATGTCTTATATTAATACATAGCTGCTTGTTATACACATATAATCGTATTATTAGTTATAATCAATAGTAGACTATACTTTTAGTTGCATATTATTGGTAAGGTATTTGATCTTGATTGGTAAGGTATAAGTTCTGTTTCAGAAAGGGTCATTGTACAAGTAAGGTAAAAAATTAAGTTGCACATGCCCAGAAAATTTTGTTGTATATTTTGATGGAAGTTACAGGCAACACTATCCATAGCACCCTTTAAAAATAAAGTAATGACTGTGCAAAGGCAGCTAGAGATTAGCTGCTACCAGTGGTGACCACATCCAATCATTTAAAATTGGTGTCAGATTGGGTGTGCACACCACAACTTTTCAGCAAGAAGGCATACCTCACTCAGATTCAACATCAACTCCATGATCTATATTAGTAATAAAGCAATTTAGGGTTAGTGCAAAAAAGTATGCATTATTCATGCAGAAATCATCACTGTGACATTAAAGTGGTTTAACATAAGTTAGATAACAATTCTTTGGACAAGATGTACTTGTGCAATTTGAACAATTTTGCAATTACGCAGAAAAGTAATTTTGACAGTATACTTACTTACATGTAAATAAAATATTATTTACATGTTATATATACTATAATTAAAAGATACTTACATATTATATAAACTTTATATGTCTATGCAATTAACTTTTTGATTACCTATGGTATAAGTGAATTTCAAACTATGTAGTTTGCTACATTTTTTTATCCCTCTGTAATTCAAGGTCAGCTGTAATTTTATAATTATGCTTTTATTTGTACTACTACAGATTTAAAATAATATCTTCAATGAACGCTGTAAATAATATTCCAGAATTTTAACATAATCTGGGATATTACTTATTATGCTGGGCAGGTACAACTTTATGATTCAAAACTACACTTTCTTACGTCATAGACAAAATTTAGGCAGCATTATAAAGAATGAGCATTCAAATTAGACGATCGTTTTCTATGTACAATAGAATCTTGATTATCCAAAATAATTACAACCATGCAGGATCAGATATACAGAAAGTTCAGTTAATAATAATAGCATTTTATTTAAAATTTTATAAATGCTCCTAGTGGCAATACCTGTTTTATTATAAAAGGATAATTCAGACCTAAAATAAGCAACCAATCACACTTTTAATTCAGTAAAAATAAATTAGTGCAGCACAAACTAATTTTGATGCGTACAAGACTACAACAGGATGTTATGCAGTCTTATAAGTTTTGATATTTCTAAGCTGCTAAATGATGCAATGTTTTTAGCATCGAGTCTTTTGGATTACATTTAACTTGTTTTCCTGTCAGCATGCCACAAGTTAAACTGCAAGCTTGAAATAAGATTAATTTTAGTTGCTTCTTTTTCCTTCATTCTCATCTTCATAAGTTTTATCAGTGATTAGAGCTTGGTATCTAGTATCAGTACTAACAGTGTTTAACCATACATTTTCTAATATACAGTATTCACAAATAAAAGTTTTAGCATTTACTCTAGAGCTGCAAATCACCAACCAATTTTCCTCATTTTGAAGCAGGTTACCTTGCCACTGTTTTATTCTAACCATTTTATAAAATAGATGACTTTGCCTCATACTAAGCTTTGATTAACATGTAAGCATAATCCTGAAGTTTATCGCTTTAATTTGAAGAATACTGATTCTATTTGGCTATTAAGGATCAAATGAATGGGTAGTCCCTTAGAATATACATACTCAAAGCTTCGAGAAAGTCTTGATACAGCTTTATGACTTCTTGATATCTAAAATCGTGGATCGATCAATCTACCATACTTGTTTGCTAGTGATTTGTTGTCATGCCTTTTCTGCATGTTTGTATCTCAAATAGACAAAATATGCTGTTTAAATGCAGGTATTATGAATGAAAGTCTTGAAAAACAAACAGCAAATCTTACAAAATATATTCACAATGTACCAGTTAGGTAGAAATTCATTAGCACTTAATTAAGAAGTACATGAAGAAATAAGTACATTGCTAGATTATGTGGGCCATTTGACCAAATCTATGCATACTTGATTTGATGCATAAATGTGTAAATATATGTTCTGTGCATTTGTATTTATGTATATTAAATAGAAGAAACACATTTTCAACAGTAACTGTGAAAAAGGACATTTTCTTCCCTAAAGCCTCTAGTTTTAACTGAAAACCCAATCAAAAGCCTAGCTCTGGTTTTAGAATGTCAAAACAGCTGCTCAGATTCATCTAAAAATTGTTCACTTTTAATTTTACTTGTTAGAATAATCAAAGTTCTACTAAAGACACATCACATTTATTAGATACCAGAACTATCACAGATAAATAAAAGTACCAATAAGTTCATCATCAATTTGCTTACAGCTCACAATATAAATTTTACTCGTAATATACAAAATTTAAAAGATAGTTATAAATTTGATGTATATTACCTACTACAGTCAAAAGTCGTTAATTCGGACACCCGTAATCCGGAATGATCTATAATGCGGACCTCAAAGCTAAAATCTTTCTGCGCATGCGCCGCATTGACGCATGCGCATAGGCGTTTTACTCGTGCGCGCAAGACATTTACGACTGCGCATATGCGTCTGCGCAAGTTCAGAATACGTTTTCGCGTTCGCGTTTAATGTATAATGGACGGTATAAGCTAAAATTATCTAATTATCTATTTCAGTTAATGTTGATAATTGCGTTGTTCCTTAATCTTCGAATTGGATCCGGCTTATTATTTTTTGCAGACTGTAAGAGCAATTTTCTAAAAGTAAGCTTGAACTTTCGATTATGTCAAATAGAATTTCGAAATCTGTTTATCAATTTCACGCTGCTCTGCGCCAGGGGGGGGACGTCGCGTCGCGCAAAACTTGAAGTTGATCTGTCAACACTATCGTTATCTTCAGGGCAGATGTTTTTATTTTATTGTGCTTATAATTCCTTACTAAATGCAGTATTTAATTTCGATGTACTCTGTCTTTGATATGATTTAAATCAAATTCCTCGTCATTATAAATATCACGAATACAAATCAAATAGTTTTCTGGTTGCAATTTTCTAATTTCGGCTATGCGTAAGGTATGCTTTACGCATCCGCGCGTTGAAAGAAATGTTTAATAAAGTAAACAAATAAATATTAGACTTCTTTTTTGGTAAATTTTGATACCCTTTAGATCATAATTGCTCATTATTTTATAAATTATGGTTTCATATTTTTAATTTTATAATTTCTGCATGCCATCTTACCAGATTTAAACTGATGATCTATAATCCGGAAAAATCGATCGCCGAAGTCCCGACGAGTCCGGATTAAAGACTTTTGACTGTATAGCTTTCTCATTTTGTGTAAGTATCCGAATGTTTTTAAAACAGCTTAAAGACACAACTGATTTCATATATTTAATTTAATAAGAAGTCATAAAGCTGTATCAAGACTTTCTTGAAGCTTTGAATATATATATTCTAAGGGACTTCCCATTCATTTGATCCTTAATAGCCAAATAGAATCAATTCTTCTTCAAATTAAAGCAATAAACTTCAGGATTATGCTTACATGTTAATGAATGAAATATCATATCATACAGTACAAATTTAATCTCTCTTAAGTTAAATATAAAAACAGACCTGTTCTTTAATATCTTGAAGCTGCTGTTGAAGTTTCTGAATATCATTATGAGAGTTATCCCTACATCCATTGTTCATCATCATTCCAGGAGTAGAAGCGGGAGTTGTAGATGCTTGTAAAATAGACAGGCCAGCCCATGTCAGTACTAAAATAATTATACAAATTTTAAACTACAAGTCATTTTGAAATGATGTACAATTAAAAATGTTACAAATATTTTACTATGCAAAATATGCTTAAAATTAATTTTTTGTTGCCTCTTTTTTCAAAAATATCATTAATATTGAGAAACTACACATTTTTTCCCAAAGTTCTTTTCAAATATTAGTCATATTTGAAGGAATTATTTCTTAGCTTTTCTCAAAGCCGAAACAACAGTAATGCAGTAAATCTGCCATGATCATAATGGCACTCAGGAACCAGGAGGGACTCTTGGTCTTGCAATAGATTTCATAACACAGAAGAAACTACAAATTATCCTTGCAATACCTGGCAGTAGTTATGTCAAGTCTCTTAAATTAATAAAAAAGTAAAAAGGTTTTATTGGACTGTCCAAAAGGCATGAAGGCACAAATCTCTTCCAGTCACATATTTGTTTTGTGTGCTAATTTAAATCCTTATGACCCAATCCTTCTTCCTTATTACGATTTCAGAAAAGAAAAGCAGACCAATTTTTCTTTTATGTAGGCCAAGTACCAGCTAGACAAAGAGGAATAGCAACAGACAATAGAAAAATAATATTTCTTTAAGAATAGTATGCATGTTTATTGCAGAACGAAAACATTATAACTACCCTCTTCAATAATGTGCTATGCGAGTTTTGGCCAGCAAAACAGCTGCAACACGCCTTGGAATGGAAGATACAAGTTCTTGTTAGATGACTGGAGACAGGTTGTACCAAATGCCTAGCGACAATCATGCAAAATCGAGATAATCCGACATGGTGGTGTTTGAAATCTGAGCTGCCCCTCCATGACATCCCAAATGTGCTCTATTGAGTTAAAATCCAGCATGTTAAACTACCAGAATATTAATTGGAATTCAACCTTATGCTTCTAAAACCACTCACACAATTCAAGCCTTATGACATGGGGTGTTGTCCTGCTGGAAGTTTCCATTTATAGTTGGGAAGACAGACACCATGTAAGTGTGCAAAAGATCCGCAATTATGTTCAGATAGTTTGTAGCTTTCATCAGTTCTACTACAACTCAGGGTCTCAGAGCCATCCGTGAGAACGTCCCTCGAAGTATAATACAGCCACAGCTAGGCTGCCTATGACTTGCTGTACAAGAGGGGAGCAACTGTTCGCCTGGAAGACGACGTACCTTGACAATACCATCGACGTGATGAATGAGAATCGTGATTCATCTGACCAGGCAACTGTCTTCCAATTATCCATGGTCCACTCTTCATGTTTCTGGCCCCACTGTAGGCATAGCTGACAATGATGCTTGGTCAACATATGAACATGAGCAGAACATCTGCTGTGCAGTCCCATATCCAACAGTGTGCACTGAGCTGTAGTGTTCTGAAATACTTGCACTTGCACCCAGAGTCGTAGCTAGGGTTTTCAGCACCCAGGGATAACTGAAGATTTCGCGCCCCCTACTGCTTGCCAAGGATGGAAAACATTTAATTTTAAAATGTCGTAACATCAGTTTGGTGCCCCTTGGATTCTGTCCCGGGGACAGATGCCCCCCCTTGCCCCCCTCTAGCTACGCTCCTGCTTGGACCAGCATTGTATCGGGCTGTCAACTGCACCACTATCTGACATCAATTTTCTGTACCAAATGGGGACAGTTTCTTTCGTCCTTTCTCTTTTCTTTGGTGACGTGTAGACGTCCAATACTTTACTGCTGGTTTCACCATCATTTATACACTTTGCATAAATACTAACAATGGCAGATCAAGAACAACCTACCAGTCATACAATTTGAAATACTCATTCCAAGTCTTCGAGCCATTACAATCTGCCCTCTATCAAATTCACTTAGATCAGCAGCCTTTCCCATCACTCACAAAAGTAACAGCAAAAATGATTCCTTACTTTCCCCAAGCACCAGTTAAATACTATTCCCACTTAATCACATGCTTTCTAGGTCATCCAGATGAGTTCATTGAAAAATGTTGCGATGGTCATAATGTTTTGGCTCGTCGATGTACAGCAGTCTATTATTTACTACTGTTAATAATTTACATTCCCTTTACATCTGAACAATTTTGACAAAGAGGCAGTGAACTTAAATGGCAGCAGAAATTCAGCTATGTTAATATGCAATTATGCTGATGTGGATGCAATAAATATTACATTTACTAAACACACACATTTACAGTGGTACAAGCTGACCAGAATGAGAAGATGATGTAGCAGTAGCAGTAGCAGTCAGCATCCACTATGTACTACTGTATCAAACACGGTTTTTGGATCTTATGTACCTGCAATAAAAGCTATCAATACACAGATCTACTAAGCTATTCTTCATAGACCTATTTCTCATGACATAGTAAAGTCAAATGATTACCACCTGTTTCATTGTAGCACATGAATTCATGTACATGAATTTTTTCAATGGTCATATGTTTACACATGGTTGTTCATCCTTTATTTTCACTTGCAAAAACTCTTTTTTATGTCCAAAGCAAAGACAAATGCTCTCAATTTGCTCTCTCTCAATTTGTTTTTCACTTAGCCCTGTGGGCGTCACATGTGTATCCTCCTCAATAGGGTTATGAGCTCAATGCCTATGGAAATTAAGGTGTAGGAAATAAGTCAAACATTCCTGTGAAATGCCAGTAAGGAGAAATAACTTTATGGCTTACATGATAATAGCTTCACTGAAAGTAAAAGTAGCAAACAACGATGAACTCTACTTAATCAACCGACAAGTTACGTAAAACCGGCATTGAAAATATGGTGTTTTCAAGTAAACATGTTTTTAATTCAGTCAGTACTTTAGAAAGTCACAAATTTAGGGTAGTTAACAAAGGCAGAAGTTACTGATGATCACAAAACTTGAAAAATGAGTTCAAAACCTGAAAGGCTACAACTAAAGCAAGTCAGCTAAAGCTCTTACAACTAAAGCAAGTCTTATGAAGCTGTCAATAGCTAAAAAAATTAAGCTGATGAGACAATGCAGGATTAAACCAATTTCTCTAAAACTGTACATATAAAAATTCTAAAAGAATTCTCAACTATTTTGCTACTTTGCAAATTAATTGGAGATTTCAAGAACTTTATAACTGTAATAAAATCATGTAATCAGTTGCTGGACTTTATTATGCTAAAAATAAATTACCAAGGCAGCAAAAAAGATGTCAACTTAAAAAATAAAAAAATAACCAAATTTGGAAATTGATAAAATTTAGTTACTATATGTAATGGCAATTAAAAGGTATGTTCTAAGAACATAAAAGTTAAAAATGAGACAAAATACTCTAGGTTGACATTTTGGAACTATGTTTAAACATAAATAAAAAATCTAAAGCTTTTAGGTGTTATAATTGCAATATATATAATTTTAGGTGTTATAATAAAAAAAAGGATATAAAATATCTGAATGTAGGAAAAATAAAAGCAAAATCAAGTAATAAAGAAACAAAGTTGCTCATTCAGCACTGTTAATGTAATACGAGAGTTAAGACTACAAAACTGGTATCTCGAAACAGGAGTTACTGCACACACATGCAATGACAAAAGTGAATTCACATCAACAACTGAAATTGAAAATCAAGTTCAGATAGCAAATAACAAATTTGCAGATGTTGAAGGTAAAAAAAGGGAATGTTGAAATTTATGCAAGTGTTAATTCAATAACTCAAATTATAATACTAAATGATGTCTTATATGATCCCAAAGTGTAAATGTAGAATTTATTTATACATTAAAGATCATAATAAACACATAGTTTAACAAGGAAAATGATCTGTATGTTGTAAATCAGCAAGAGGTACAAGAAGTTTCAAATGCTGCACAGTGAAATGCAAATACTCAAAATAGTAAATTGAAATTACGCCACAAATAGTGTAATCACATAAATCTAGCAAATTTAAAAGTATTTCATTCTAAAATGATGGCATATTGCCATCCTCTTTGATTTCAAAGTGTAACAGTGAGTCATCCTTTTGCAAATTATATGTAAAATGCAAATAGGCTATAAAGTACAAAGTTCGAAATCCGAACGTCCATTATCTGGAATGATCTAAAATCCGGACCTCAAAACCACCAACAAAATTTTTCTCATAGGCTTTACGCATACGTACTTGATTTCTCCCTTCGCGGATAATAAAACATCTGGAGAGTCCCGATTCTTAATTTCACTTTGACACTAAATAATATACCTTGTTATTGAAGAAACAATCAGTTTAGCATAAACTTGTACGATCAGTAATTTGGCTCTGTTGCTGCGTATTTACTTGGCACGAATCTCAAACCGAAACATTCCACATAGATACATCGTTGATCTGATGCCAAACCTGGCAAATCATTATTTATTATACTTTTCTTTCATCACCGCATGTTTATCAAAACATGACTACTTGAGTAATGACTCATGTAACAATACCTAAACAATTTTTTTATGTTAGCATTTGAATAATAAAGGAGTATGGTGACCTTTTACGTGAGATTACACTTGGTGATGATTACAGATTTCAGTAGCGCTAAAAAATGTTGATGAAGAAAAATTTACCAAAAATTTCTTTCCATATGCTAAAAATAGATTTTGTTGATGATACTCATAGACCCAAAGATTACATTTAGATCATACATAAATACTTCATTATTTCATAAATCGGAATTTCATATTTTTAATTTTATAATTTCTACATGCCATTTTACTAGATTTAAAACGATGATCTATTATCCGGAAAAATCCCAAATCCGAAATCACTGAAATACCAATGAGTCCGGATTTTGTACTGTATTACCTTTCTCACAAGAAGCATATGTAACAAATCGTGAGACACTTTTAAAGTTGTTCACATTAACATTGTGGTCCAACGAAAGTCACATTCTTAGTTGGTGTAAAACATTTTATAATGTTCACACATTACAAGTTGTGGAAAATTAAAGTATACACTTTACAAAAAAAGGTCTGAAGCTCTTCAAGTATTTAAAAGGTATAAATTGTAGGCTAGAAAGCAGTTTAAAATTCTCCAAAGCAACAATGGTAAGCAATTCATCAGGAATTCAATAAATTGTTTGAAAGGGAGGGCATTAAATGCCTGTTTTCAGTTGAGGACAAATCTCAACAGAATGGAGTTGCAGAAAATGCCAATCATTACTCTAGTTGAAATGGCCAGGTATCTGTTGTTCAAGTTGAAATTATATCAAACATTATAGGCAGAAATGCTATCTACAGATGCATACATGTGCTACCGATGCCCTACTAAAAGTACATCCAAAACACAAGAGCAAATATGGTCCAAATAAAAGCCTACAATAAAGTTTTTGCATTAACCAATGGAAAAAAGGAGATTCTTTTCCAAAGTGAAGAACAAATTTTTATTGAATATTCGGAGGAAGTAAAAGCACATTGTGGGTAGAAACTTGGATTCTCTTATGTAATAAAAAATTGTGATGCTTGCTTCATGGAAATGCCACAAAACATAATCAGAAGCTTCAACAGTTGACTAAGAGAAATTTATCATCAAATATTTCCCCCTATAAACGAAAATTCATAAATGAACAAGAATTCCGAAATATCCAATGAAGGGAGAGTAGATGTTAAAGGAACTGCAATTATGAATGAACTTACCTGTTCCACCACAGCACACAATGAAAGGTATTACTTTATCAATCTGGGCTCGACATTGAACGCATTTTTTCATTAATGCAGCACAGCCTGTTTAAAAAAGTAAAATAAAATAAACATAAAAGAAAGAATATATTGATGATAACAAAACCATACAGTTAAGCAAAAACACAGAATATTTATATTATAACAAGCTTTTTCGCATTTTTTGGTTGTCATATGGTTATTCTAAGCATTTTTTTAAAGTATCTCGAGGCACATCCTCCCATAATCTCGTGATGCTCCACACAGCAGACTTTATGTTAAAATAATTTTAAAAATTGTTAAATAGTCTTGCCGTTATTCAAGAAATTTAACATGTATTTTAAAAATGCGACTTTATATTTGCACTTCAGAGCGCACCATTCCGATATCCATAGGCTGAATGACAGACATACATACAGTTTGGAAGAAAGAATAACATGGAGAGATTATCTTTCTTTAAAACTTTAAGTGAAATATGAGCTGAAAAGTTATCTACAACCAGGACAATTTTTGCGTCATTAGGTAAACCAACCGAATTCAAATTTTGCCGAGCCTTGGGTATGAAATTATTTTGAAACCAATCAAACATTAACATTTGTATCATCTGTGTTCTTTTAGTTGCATGATATATAACGAGAAAACCTTTACTCCTTTAAATGCTCGAGGTCATGTATTTTTTCCGATTATGAAAAAGTTTACACTTGTGCTTTCCTGCAGCATTTGCGCCTCCTAAAATTGTTAGTCTAGCTTTGAAATCTTTGACACCAGTTGGAGCCTTTTCTGTGAGGTTGCCAAGATATTTTGCGCTACATATTGCCAAAGACCAGTTTCATCAGCATTGTAAATTTGTCCTGCAGAAAATGTTTCACTATTAATGAGTTCAATGAATTCATCTGCAAATAGTTCAGTAGCTTCAGTATCAGCTGAAGCTTTTTCAACTGAAATTTTTAATAGCATTATACCACAGCGATTTAAAATTTGGCTAACCAGTCTATTGGATATGTGTACTCAGTTTTTAAGTTCATCTCTTCATGAAATATTTTGGCTTGAGCCATTAGCATTGGACCCGTCAATGGCACACCCTCGCTGTGTCTCTGTCTGACCATTCAATCATCACTTTGTCACGATAATCACGTTTAGCACAGCGAGTAATCTTTCTGTTATTCATTGTGAGTGGGGTGTCGGAATATATGGAATGAGCTCGATTATCATCTGGATGTGTGTCATGTCACCAAAGGGGCACATATTAAACATTTGTTGAGAGGTATACACTTGGTGAGTTCGTGGTTCTTTTCGAATATCTTTCACAGGTGTACATGTAATACTTTTGAAAACATAGCCTTTTCAAAATGAATAAATAATTTATGCCAGCTTTGTAAAACAATCTCCTACCTGGTAAAGTAATTCACATCAACAGAAGCTGCGTGTACCCCTGCCAGTTTCATTCAGCAATTTACACATGCAACAAATTCTACATTTTCATTAATTTCCACAACACACTCTGAATGCAGACATGTTATCCAGACATCAAAATAGTATTATTACATGCTCGGCTTCTGGAAGTCAGCTCTATTTCACTAATTTCTACAAAATCATAACTTAAATATTTTCAGCAACTTTACTTTTTGTTTCAATGATATAAATGATTTCATAGCTACTATTCTACTTTCATCAACCAACATGTAACATAAAATTCTGGGCTAGTTTGATCCTTATGAGAAATCTCAGCAGTGTTGTCAAATATCATAGAAAAATACTTGTTTCTTTTACTTGTTTGATAACTTTTTAATAGATTTAGAACAAATTCAGTGAAAGCAACACAAACTTTAAGAGATTAAATTCAAAGTATGTGTGACGTTTATCTTTTGTATTGATTAAAATAATGAAATTTAAAATGCCCTTTATTCCACCAGCCACAGCTCAACATTTATTAGCACGGGAACTGTATTCAACTACATAGCTATTTTTTAAACATGTGCTAAAAATAAAAAAAAACTATTTTCCAGCTGCATTTTGACAATAACCTATTGGATATAAATTTGTAACAGGCTGAAAAGCTAACAAAGAATCAGATATTTGGGGTAAAGGAGTAAAAAGAGGAATACATCTTTGTAACGTGAACTAATTATGTGGTATGCAGCCACCAAGGCACAGCTATAAAGCAGTTGCCTAGGCATGCATTTTATTGCTTTACTTTTAAGAATTAGAACAGCATTCTGGTAAGAAAAAGTAATGTTTTTGTTGGACATGCATATTTAATTCTTTTAAATCTACATATTGTTATTAAAATCTTATTATTAATTAAATAATAAGAATTTCCAAATCAACATAAATACTGTCAAAGAATAAAACTGCATCTCGCATGTGAAAAATGTCACTTCCAAAAATGTAACGTCATCTTACATATGTCTTTAGCACACTAACTTAAACTGAATAAGCTGATTGTGAAAAGATTAGTGAAGCACAAAAACTTTTTAGTAGTTATAAAGAATAAGCAAAGGGGAAAAACTTTCTCTTCATATTATTTTCCAACAATTTGTTTCCAGTTCCCAAGTTTAACAACAAATATTAACAAAAATTTATATTATTATTACTTGCAGGAATATGAAAAATTTCCAGTTTTATATAGTTTTATATAATAAGCAGTTGCAATTTTTAATGAAATTGTGTAGAATAAAACTAATATTATATAGTTAAAAATTAACTGGCAAAATGAAATTAAAAATGAGAAAATTTTAGGATTTTACATTACAACAGAACTACATTTAAACATAAATAAAATGAAAGTGCAAGAGGGTTTTCATAGATGCAGTAACTCGTCTATTTCATCAGATGAAGCTGGAATGGATGGATTCACCATGTTTGTTGTCTTTTATCAATTTCCATAGGGTTGCTGTATTCAGAACTGCGGCCCAGAGGCTTTCCTTTCAATTTTTCATACATCTGAACTGCAATTCTGAGCATAAGAGCTCCATAGAAACTGATAAAACACAATGAACATGGTGAATCCACCCATTCTTGCTCCAACTAAGGAAGCAGATGGGTTGTCTGCAAAAGCTCGTACTTTCATTTAGGTTTGAATGTGGTTCTGGCATGTCACCTAAAATTTTATCTTGTTCTGAACTAGAGTTTTAAAACATGCAGTTGCATATAATTTTGCAAAATTCTTAAAACAAATGAAAATTTATATATACAAACCATCACATGCACACATATGGCCACAAGGTTTGAAAAGAACAGATGCCCTTTTATCTGAACACACAACACATTCTTCAATCTAAAATGGCGAAGGAAAAAATACAACTGATTAATAACATAACAAACATAATGTACAATTAAAATATAAAACACAAAATTAAATTGTTGCAGGGTTTATCTTTTTAAATTAAAAATATTTTCCCCTGAACTGCCCTTATACTAAAGTCATCCTCTGAAACTTGAAGCGATAACAGTATAAAATACTTTAAAATGGAAAAGTGATTATTTTTACCATTTTTTTAAAAGTAATTACTCATAAAATAACTCTGTAAAGTGTTTTCTCTCCATCAAACTAAGCTAGCAAACAAAGTTATCAGACATGGAACTGATCATTTAACATGATAAGCTGCTCTAAAAAAGTTGGTTTTTATTACATTCCTGCTGAATGCAGTCTATCCACTATGATACAGAATTGTGAAGAATATACTATTGAGAATGGAATGAAAGCCCACAAACTAATTTTACAGATGGTCAAGATATGATATAATGGTAATGAAACAAGCAGGGCATTCTATGTTGAATATGAGAAGAAAATATGACAAGTTACTTTCAGAGATGTTCTTTTTGGTCTAGAGACTGCAAAAGGATTTCTAACAAAACAACTAGCTGATTAAGCAATTTAGATATCCAAAATCAGCAGTTTTACTAAAAGCTATATGGTCTCAATATTGTATAAATAGGGCCTAAGCCATTAGATAAAATCATTGCTCCTGTACCCCAAGTCACTTAAACAAAGTTTCAAATAATTCACCTGCATTATTTTCAGAAAGGTTAGGAATTCCACATTCAAGATATCTGAACATGGCTTATTTTGTGCAAAAATGCTCAGTGCATTTCCAAAACAGATAATAAATGCATTAAGGTCTGCTTTTTCTTTGACATAATGGTCCAAAACAGATAAAAGTCCTTATTTAAGATAATACAGTCAAAAGTCTTTAATCCGGACTCGTAGGGACTTTGGCGATTCCGGATTATAGATCATCAGTTTGAATCTGGTAAGATGGCATGCAGGAATTATAAAATTAAAAATATGAAACCGTAATTTATGAAATAAAGAACAATTATGATCTAAAGGGTAAAAAAAAAAAAAAAAAAAAGAAAAGAAAAAGGGGGGGCTAATACTTATTTGTTTACTTTATTAAGCATTTCTTTCAATGTAAGTTGTTTAAGTTGCTTCGTTTTATGCAATAATACTTTCTCTTTAATTCTATAAACAGACATAATTTCTTGTTCAGTTACAAAGTTCCGCCGTTCAAGTCCTATAATTGCTGTGTCAAAAATACCGACTAATTTGTCAATCGAAATTTTTTCATTTTCAATAACCTCTGTGTCACTTTCTTCACTATCGGAAGCGAATTATAATGACGAGGAATTTGATTTAAAACACATCGAAGACGGAGTACATCGAGATGAAATACTACATTTAGCAAGGAATTATAAGCCAAATAAAATAAAAACATCTGCCCTGAAGATAAGGATAGTGCTGACAGATCAACTTCCAATTCTTTGTGCGCCGCGAAATTTATAACTAGATAAGAAAGAAATCTATTTTAATAAATTGAGGTATTTTGTAAATTTCGCATACATAAGGAAAAAATAGGGCATTAAATTTCGTGATGGTATGTCATCATATTGCTAGAATTAATTTCAAGATTATGCCAGAGAAATTTTCCTGAAATTTGGAAATATTATTTACTAAAATAAAAATTTGAGGGGGAAGAACATCATTAAAATTATACGAAGAACTAAAAATAAGATAATTACTTAAATGTGAATAAATAATCAACGATTATTTTAGCGGGAGTTATATTACATTGGTTGGCCTCTTACGTTATTTACTTTTTTATTTTTTAAACCAAGGCAAGGTAAAATATTAGAAATTTGTTTAAAATTTTTTAAAAAGTAAAGTTTACGCCTGGCTAAGTTTTGGCTATGAAAGAAGAAAATTTTTGACTATTGCTTGCGGGCAAAAGTCCTTTTCCTTCCGCGTTTACCGGCAAATTTCCTTGTGACGTTCTTCTGGTTATTTTTACATTTTCGTCTATGCACCTCTCTTTCTTTGGTTTTGTGAAAAAATTTTCCATGCCTTGCGCCTTTTTTTGTGTGTAGCTAGAAGGGTTTCGTCCATTTTCCTTGGGTGCGAGTGCAATGAGCTGTAACTTCGAGAAAATAAACTCTCGTTGTTAGGCTTGACGTGTGCACCATGTTATTTTCATTTTTTTTTTTTTTTTTGCGATTATATCGACGGGTGTTCACGTCGCTCAGTTTGAGCAGACAAAGCATCTCGACGGCGTGCGTGGCACGTCTTTTTAGCGCAAGTTTAGAAATTAAAGAAATTTAAAGGATATTCATTTAATGAACTCTTGATAACGTGACCTTCGAACTTCCACACCGGTTTCCAGCTTTGGCGGCAGATATATCACGCAACAGCTGTTTTCCCTCTATGATGGAACGGAGCCACGTCTGTTGCAGAGAGGTTTTCCTTCTTTACAATACATATTCTTTGATTCTAACCTCCATGGTACCGTATACTAAGATTAAACCCATTTTGTTTTATACGAGAACAGGTACTTTCTTTAGTTCATGCACTGCACATGCGATTCTCGAGAATACTCGAAACCAAAAGTTGCGGGAAACTTGCTTGCTTTGCCTTTCTAAAAGGCAATCAAATTGGAGCTGCGAAAATTGGTTCTATGCCAGCAGACACTCACGTGATCGGCAATTCTCCAAAAAAGTTATCTCTTCCGAAGTCGGCGCAAAAATCGCTTTTTTTGGCGGGATCATTGTATGAACTTCCCTGACTTTTCCAGATTTTGACAAAAATACTTAAATTCCCTGACTTTTCCCTGAATTTTTTGGTCAATTTTCGAATTCCCTGACTTTTCCCGGTTCTCCCGGTTTTCCAGGTAGCGTGGCAACCCTGTAATTAGGATTTCTCTACAGTAATTGCTTTTTACTCCAAATTGAATTGACTAAAATGCTTCATAAGAATAAGTTCTTTGAGTATCAGCATTGGTTCATTATCCTTTCTATTCGCGGAAATATTTGGCCTGACTAGAATTAGCGGTTTGGCTTTTACTTATAACTCGAGTAAAGACGAAACACTTTCGCATTTACGTATTTTTATCAATTATTGTTCATTGAACGGAAGTTGGTTTGTTCCCCTTGAAAAGTCAACTAATTTCCGGTCAATGACAATGATTACTTTTTTTTTTCCTTTTACAATTGAATTTTATTCTTCATGATGATTTAACTCCAGTCCCCGTTAAAACATTATTAACATTTTGCTTTCAAATTACTTCAAAACATCTTTCAAAATATAACTACCAGTATGGATTCACTCTTTTAAACAATTCTACTTTAATTAAACTTAGGAGATAATATAATCAATACTGTTTAAGAAATAAATTATAAATATATATATATATATATATATACATACATATATATATACAGTACAAATTCCGAGATCCGGACATCCAATATCTGGAATGATCTAAAATCCGGACCTCAAAGCCACCACCAACCAATTTTTTAGGGCTTTTTTGGAGGGAAGGGGTATGCTTTACGCATGCGCATTAGATTTTTTTCCTCATCATAAAAAAACATGCCGGAAATCCCGATTCTTAATCTCAGTTTGGCGCTAAATAAAAAATCTATCTCATTATTGAAGAAATAATTATTTTAGCATAAATTTGTGTGATTAGTAACTTGACTCCATAGCTGCGTATCTGCTTGGCATAATCTCAAACCGAAACATTTGTTAATTTTACACCAACTAATATTTTATATCCTTGATGCCGAAATCGCGAATCATTATTTATTGTATTTTGCTTTCATCACCGCATGTTTATCAACGGATGACAACTTGAGTGATGAATCATGCAGCGACGCCAAATAACAGAGTATTATCCGATTACAGATTTAAGTTTAATGCGCTAAAATGTTGACAAGGGGAGATTTAAGCAGAAATTTCTTTCCTTATGCTAAAAATAGATTTTGTTAATGATACTCATAGGACAAACGATTATATTTAGTGCTATTTGAATTAAGAATAACTGATTTGTTATTCACATAAAGCCAGAACCAGCGCCAGAGCTCGCATGGCCGCACCAGGCGGCAGAATTTAGCGAAGTTAAACAGAAGTTTTTCATTGCGATGACAATGCCCAATCATCAATCAATTAACGGAGGGCGAAATCTGTAGTATGGTTCTAAATCCAGAAAATACAGCTACCGATAGTGAAGAAAGTAACAGAGAGGTTACTACAGAGAAAAAATTTTGATTGACAAGTTATTCGGAATTCTCGACACAGCAATTACAGGACTTGAACAATGGAACTTAATAACTGAACAAGAAATTATATGTCTATAGTATTAGTCTAAAGTATTAGCAGAGAAAACAAATCAAACAACTCACATTGAAAGAAATGTTTAATAAAGTAAACATATAAATATTAAGCTCTTTTCTTTTGTAAATTTTGATACCCTTTAAATCATAAATGCTTCATTATTTCATAAATCACGATTTTCATATTTTCAATTTTATAATTTCTACGTGCCATCTTAGTAGATTTAAAATGATCTAATATCCGGAAAAATCTCAAATCTAGGATCGCCGAAGTCCCGACCTCCTTTGTACTGTATAAATATATATATATATATATATATATAAATATAATACGGAATGTATATTTTCAGTTAAACTTCTACCCAATAACTTTAGTAATTCATGAAAGTTAATTTTGCGTCTAGTTAATTCAGGAAAATTAGTTTCAATTAGTTGTTTCAGCTTTAAAAATATTAAAAAAATTTTAATTAGTTAGTTATTTTCAACTAATAATTGTATCGCCATTAGCAAAAATTATGCATTACTATCAACAACATAGGTTTAAACCAAATACTTAATTGTCTATTGAAGCTTCAAAACGTATTTCCGAACTTCACTTTTTCTCGGCTAGCGTTACCGAATTTGCCCTTGGCGACCTAAAATCGAAATGGAGCCAACAGATTTCCCGCGAAATCGATAACAGACCCTCTGCAGAAATAAACTCATAATCCCGATATCCCATACATATAGTATGTGCAAAAGAGAATAAACTCCGTAGAAGGTGATAAAAATTAATTTATGGCTTAATTGAAACAAACACAGAAATTAAGCTAAGCAAAACCGTGTAAAAACAAATTGAAATGATAAAACGAAACTTAATTTTCATGTGAATTTTCAGCGCTGACTCTCCCATTCTAGAAATTTCAATTTGTTTCAGACAAAGACCACATTTAGCTTTAAGGATTGCCATCCATCAATATCCAGTCTTTGTAGTCAGCTTGATGAAGCCACAGTTTATTGAAAATGCACTTTCCAGGCATCTCGTTCCTATTGGCGTCGGAAGGGTTGTGGCCTTCCAGGTTGGGATTGCTCTAATTTTGGCAAATATTTTCAGAATCTCCCCCCCTTTTTTTTCTCGAGCACCTTCATCATCATTTTCGCCTCTTAAAGAACTTCCGGCTTCACGCTTTCGTCACATCTGCCTAAATTTATGGATAACACCTGTTTCGAAAGATTGAGTGAATAGCCAATCAGACACCGATACTTTCGTTTGGGTAGCTAATTGTTTTTTTCTATCGTTTGCAACGCAAATCCGCCAACAGATTGGTTAAGAGCCGTGCAATTTTAATTCCATATTCATGAGAAATCGCAATTCACACATAGAATGGCAATCATTAGAAATGATAAGAAATGTCAAATGAGCAAAATTAAGGACCGTTTATTCATTTTGGCCAAAATTAAGGACCAAAAATAATTTTTGAAAAAATTAAGGACTTTTAAGGACCGTACGAACCCTGTATAAATAATTATACATGAAAATAATCTTACAATATTTAAAAAATATCATGGAATAATATTACAATGAAAATAATAATGCAATGCAAATAATTACAGTCTATTTATGAATCATCACATCTAAACTATGTTTACCTTAGTTCGTGACTGAACTTGTTCTTTGCACATAAGGCACTTCTTCACTCTTGGAGAGCACAAAGAACAAGTGGCAATATGACCACATGGACCAAACAATGTATCTCTTTTCATATCGGAACAAACCATACATTCTTCAAGAGTTTCATTATCTTGGGAGGGTGAACTACTGGACGGTGTAATGCACTGATCACTGGGTAAAGAATGCAAGATTAATTTTCCTCACATAAGCATAAAAAGCATAAAATGTATATAAAACCTTACATTACCATACATTGCCGTTTATACCATTAATATAGTTTTCATTAATACTGCTTTAGATTCAATATTTAATTTTTCGGCACAGAGATTCTTCGGAAGATTTAATAGTAAACCAAAATGAAAATCTGTCAGCACATCCTATTTCATGTTTTGTTGGAAAAGTTTTAGTTGTTTTAGAACTTGAGAGGAAATCCCAGAGTATTCATAAGATTTCTACTGCAAAAGTATTTACTGGGAGGGTATTATGTAACACAAAATTAACCTTTTAAGCATGAGCATTGATGCGTTTTCAAGTCAATTCTTCGTATGTTGCTGTTGTCTGCTTTGCAATTTCCTAGCTTGGCTCAGTGTTGTAAATACACTTCCATTAGTGATTCTGATGTTTCTTGAATGGGAAAATGAATATTCTGGATTCAGCTTTTAATACTTTATGAATAATAACTATAAGAATACAAACAAGTAACTATTTACATGCTTCATATCTAAACACTTTCATTCAAACTTTTCTCTAATTGCCTCAGACCTTAACTACTTTAAATTAATACTTTTTCTACAGTCAATGGTGTAAGGTCATCTACAACTTTCTCTAAAAGCGCTGTCATTCTGAATTACTATATTAACAGCCTATTTCCAAAGGGTCCAGCAAAAAGATGCTACACAAACTATTAGTTCATGGACTACCATAATGGAATACAGTAGGTGCCACTTAATGTGATCACACTTGTCCATAGGTATTTTAATAACATTAAGCAATGAGAAAAAAATAATCTCTGAGAATAACAAAGAATTTAAATAATTTAATATAAATATCAAGAACATATAAATAGGTATTTTCTTAGAATTTCAATTAAGCACATGCAAAAATTTATGAACTATTCATAAGGGTTCTGAAAATTATTTGACTCATACTGTACCCCTAATATTCGAAAAGCATTTCTCATTGAAAGAAATTATTCCAGAGTAAAACATAAAAAAACAACCTTAGTGTTAGTCGTACATGTTTTCAGAATCCCCCCCCCAAAGGAAAAGAAAAAAATGCTGTAGATTCCCCCCCCTTAAGAAGAAAGACGCGTGTTCTTGCACCCTCAAAATTGATACAGTTATTAAAAATATATGATAAAGATTGCTTTTTTGCTTAATTTTGAATAGTTGACTGAAATCGAAACCAAGTTGTTTAGCATCTTAAATCTCTCATCTGGTGGAATTTCTCTGTCACTTGGCAATTTTTATAATCAATTTTCACCCTGTTCGGCCCATTTATTTTTTATTTTGTGAATTTAGTTTATAAAATTTATTCTATTATAATTTGATTATATCAACTGAAATACTGATTACAATAAGCAATGGATTGAATATTGCATTACATTCTTGTACATTCGGACCCTCACCGGTGTATGTCGACAATCACAGATATGCTCTGGTGTAGGTCGAAAAAAGAGGAGTATATATACATGCTGTCATTGCAAAAGGAAGTGTTCCACAAATAAATGTGATTGTAAAAGCAAGGGCCTCTTGTGCAATTCAAAGTTTCCAATAAATAAAATTTGAATCACATAATTTAATAAGTTTTATACTTCTATCATTTTCCTTTCTCATTTTGAATGTACTATGTGTTTTAAGTTCTTATTTTAAGTCTCAAGTGCATTTTTTCGCGACTGATTTACGGAGAAGAAAATATAATATTCTTATATGTTCAACATTCCCCATTAGTGCATGGTGAATGTCGACATTGACCGGTGTAAGTCAGAAATAAGAGTATTTGGAAAATATTTTGGACATACACCAAGCGACTATGTGAATGTTGACATTCATCGGTGAAAGTCGACATTCTCCAAATTTCGTGTTTCACCGTAACATATATATTACATAATCTAACTGCTTATACAGCCTTCTAGTTCCATATATTTATAATTAGGAAAATTTTATTCTTATTACAAAACAACAACAACAACAACAATAATAATAAATGTAACTCCTGTACAACAAAAATAAATTTATTTTCAAAATTTCTGATATTTGACATCACTTTCAACCTGGTTCGATTAATAGGTTGGTTAATAAATAAACTGGAATAATTCAAGATTGGTTTGTTCCCCTTAAATGCCATTTACTAACATTCTTTTGTAATTTATTTTGTGTGTACTATTCTTTAATTTATAATCCGGTTACAACTAGTACATCAATGGAATTTTCACACATGTATTTTATAAGTTTTCAAAGGTTAAAAGTGCATTATTAATATTTTCATAAAGTTTTACTATTTTAGAACTGTAATCTTATAATCGTATAAAAATTCCATTAAACTAGAAATATTTAAAGTTTTTAATTTTTGAAAATATGTTAGGAGTTGGCTATATTGAAGCTCGTGAGTGGTTTCTAGAACACAAACTCTTCGAAATCTCTACAAAAAACTTTATATTAATCAATATTTTTAATAACAATCTGTATAGAAATACTTTTCACTTAATCTATTAACATCAGATACATTTTTCTAAACTGCTATTTTATTTTTCATTATGCACAAATGCAAATATTTCATTCTTCATTTTGCATACAGCCACTGAAAGATAAAATATCTTCATAATTTTTTTTTTCATATGGAAGTTACACTCTTCATATCTTATTTATTAATGATTATAAAATTTTCTTAAGTATGGGTATCAAGGAAGCATAAAAAAAGTAAAATTTTGTAATTTTACAAAACTGACTTTTCGAAATCTAAAAAAACTCGAACCTGAATATTTGCATCATTGAAAATACCTTTTTAACTGGAAACTTACGTCTATGATCGATAGTTGTGAAAATAAAGGGCAGGTAAGAATTTTTGTGGACACAGTGTACAACAAACTGTGCATGAACTGGGAAAGAGTTTAGAGATACACACTACCACTGTGAGTAGCTACTTGCAAGCCTTGACTTATTAACTTGGCAAGAATAATTATTAAAATGATCTATTCACTAAATAATGTATAGCCAAACGTTTAGAATGAATGAAATATAGTTTAGAATGTCCTGCCTGCATGACTGATGATTTTGAAGCAAGAAGGCAAGAGTATGAAATTTTTTCTTTTTTAAATTTTATTTATTGAGTTTCACATACATTTTGAGATGATATAATCTTTGATATACTTTCTATAACTAATAATTTCTGTGTAAAAATACTTTTAGGAGCAGTTAAAAATAGACTGAAGTGGAATTCTGAAAAATTTCAATATTTACATTAAAGATAATCTTCTATAGCAATTTTAATATTACATTTTATTTTACATTAGATTTACATACATTTTAAATTTATTTTACATTAGAGATGATCTTCTACACCAATTTTAATATTACCTCATTTACTGAAAACTTTTAATATCAAATAGCAATGCAACCATAGTTACAAAGGATCAATAACATTTTAAATATACAATAGCAATATCAAAATACTTACTTAGATTGCTCTTTATGACATTTTGTCAAGGCTTTGCATAGATTTGGATCAGGACACAAGTCTAATGGAGTCTGACCTTTTTTATTCTTTATATTCAGATCAGCTCCATTGGATACTAAGAAACAGGCAATTGATGCATTGCTTTTCTTATCAGAGCTTTGAGTTCCTAAGCCCATCAACAACTGAAATAAATAATAATTTCCAATGTAGCTCTATAGATGAAAGACTTAAAATTTTAATTAAGTACATGGAATTTTTAATAAACTTCCTCACTAATAATATGCAATAAATGCAACATAGAAGAAAAGAAAAACAAACTTTTGAATTACATACTGTACTACAGAGGCTGTTCGCACATTTTTTAGACGATTTTGGCAAGCAGTAATAAAAAATCGTTTGCTGCAAACAAGTAATTGCAATTGTACTATATTTTTAAAAGTCAAAATTATGGTCTGTGGCTTGAAAGTATTGTTTTTATTCAAAATGGCGAATTTAACAAAGCAATGATTCGAAGGCTACATTTACGCTCTTTCCGAAGAGAAATATGCATACTCCGTTATCCAAAAACGATGTGAGAGTCATGGTTTTGTGATATCTAAAGCGTCGATAGGTAATATCATCAACAAGAAAGAAAAAAACGTCAAATTGGAGCCTCAAGTGGGACAAAAATTCTAAACAAGCATCCAAGGAAAAAATGGGCATCTTCGACTATTGCAAAAGTACTTTGTTTAATGTTAAAAGATGGGTGTATTTAAATGAGTGTAACAAAAAAAAAAAAAAAAAAAAAAAAAAAGCCATTTATTATCATAAAAGGGGAGAAAAAACTTAAGTACATGGTTCAAAGAATCAAAAGAATGTTTTTCTAAGGGATTCATGATTGTTGCTGGTTTTTCTTATAATGGCAAGTTAAAAATAAAGAGAGTGCAAAAAAATGTCAAGATTAACTCCAAATACTATCAGGAACATATTTTATTGCCAATTTTTCTGAATGAAATACCATTGCTTTACCCACAGTGCCATCAATCTGTGAGACTCCATCAGGACAAAGCTAGCAGTCACACATCAAAAGCCACTGTACATTTCCTAAAAGAAATGGAACAAAAAACTAGTATCAAGGCCATACCCTTCACTGATATCCCTACTAAATCTCCCGATGTGTCACCTATGGATTTTTGTGCTTTCGGACTTTTAAAAACTGCATTATCCAAACGTTGTCCCCAAACCCTAACAGGACTCTGGAAAGCTGTTCGGGAGGAATGGGATAGAATATCTCTTCTGTCACTTCAAAAGGCATTATTATCCTGGAAATTGCAGTGTCGAAAGATAGTTCAGAATAAGGGATGTCAAATAAAACATTTAAAACACAAGAATTTATGTAATTTATTTTTGTAAATACAATATACATTGTCTAAAAAATGTGTGAACAGCCTCTGTATACCAGTTATCTGAAGTAATGGAACCAATATTACTTTGAATAACTTCAAACTGAGGTTACACAAAACACTATGACCATTTCAGATTAAGCGTTCATGAATTAAAAAAATCTTGTCAACTTTTATGATACCACTAATTCTTTTCTCACAACCTTAATAAATTTAATATTACATAAACAGAAAAATAAACATTTACTTATTTTGGTGGCTAATATATATACAATTTTAATAAAAACTTGTGTTATTGTATGCTATAAACCCCTTTATGCAAACAAAATGTGCCAGGACACTTTGGAACCACACCTTTTTCACATTAATTCTGATCAAGCTTGTCTTCTTAAAGAATAGAAAAAAACATATTTTTTGCATACATAACTGTAAAACAATGACGATATTTTGGAGTACATTTATAATAAAGCAAATTTTTAAGTTTCCAAATTTTAATTTTTAAACTTATTTTTTTATTTAAATCACATGAGGGAAATTTATTTGTAAACATAAATAAATACATAACACTAAGTTTACATTTAAGGATTCAGACATGAGGCACTTGGTGGCTTTTCTTCTGCAATCTTGGATGCTAAAGCACCATAACTGCAACTGACCTAATCCATTTGCAAGGCAAAGATTTCATAACCCATTTTTTTCACATGTAGACATATAATGTGAGTCAAAATGACTGATCTGATTTCACAAGTTTTTGCTTCTGAAATTTACAAACTTAAAGGGACAAATAATTAATATATTCAATAATAGGAAAACTGTCCAAGTTTTACCTGCAAATGTTTCTTTCTTTTTTTTTTCCCCCTGATTATTTTAGTTAAACAAACAATGGGAAGATTTTGCCTGTACTTGCTCCATATCCTTCAGTTACTGCTTCTGAAGCAATAGCTGTTTGAGTTTTTGAAATTATGTATGCTGGTAGACAGTTTTAGATAAGAACAATAGTACATTTCAAATTTATCATGTAAGGACTAAATTGCATGATATAAATCTGGTGACTTAATGTTGTTAGCTGCGAAAACCAAGTCATTGGATAAGCAACAGATTCAATGCAGCAGGAATACTTCAATTTACATTATAAAATATACATTTATTTTCAAGTAACGGTAAAATCAAAAACCTTTTATTTAAATGCAATAAAAAATTAAAACTCCTTCATTTTTGTTGGAAATTTGAACTTACCAATTAAGTCTTAGTTTGCAACATTTTGATTAGCACATTTTTATTGCAGTTACCTTTATAAAGTGATAATTATGATTATCACTCATTAAATATATTATTTTGCAATATATTCTATTATTTTTAATCTTTTTAAAAATACTGTTTACAAATTTGTCACAGAAGAATTTCTTGCTTCTTTGTCTCTCTTTTTCTATTGACTGTGTACAGACACAGTTGTCACAGTTCAACTGTCTCTATGGCTCACATAGAGCTTTTTAATGCAGACTATAAATTTCATCATTTGCATAAAGCTACAGTTTATCAATGAAAAACTACCTAAATTATTTTTAATTATTTTACACTTCCATGAAACATGGATACTCTAAAGAAGCTTAAAATATACAGAGAATAACGTGAAAGGCAAAATTTAAAATATAATGGACTGTAGACCTCGGATGTGCCACTAATAGTACTTTCATTGGTAATTCCAACTTTTCCACCTTCCTGCATGTCTTGTAATTGTCTCAGCTGAGAAAGAGTATGATGTCTTAAAGCTTCATGAAGGGGTGTGTCTCCATCCTTGTCAGGAATGTTCAAGTTACATTTCTCCCGGACAAGGAGCTAAAAAAAAATTCATTTTCAACCATCACGAAACATACAATAGCAACACAATTTTTGCTGAACAAAAAGGAGGAGATACAGGAAAGGAGCAAAACTTCAAAATATATATGATATTCCTTATAAGATCTTGAGCTTTTAGAGAGATCGAACTATCATCTTGTACAAACAAATACAGCAAATATTACATTTTGACTATTCATTAGAAAAATAATAATAATCATCTACCAATTACCTAAATATTAAATTAACAGTAAACTATTTAATGAAAATTTCATTTTCAGTATGGATTTAACAAAGTTAAATTTTCTTGCATATGAATATTCCTGAACATTTTACTATATAATTAGTTTGTGATAATTTCTAAACACTTATTCCTCGTCTCTACTGAATATTTTGGGTTTGTTTGAATACTGTTACAATTTTTCTGAAAATACTCAAGTTTTGGATTTTATGCATTTATATATTCTTGAATATTGCTTTATTTACTCAGTGCATTTTGTATAATAATGTTGTACATAGTTATTGTGATTTTATTTAAATTTATGGCCACTTATTCTGTTTGTTATGTGCTTAATTTTATGTTTTTGTAGAACTTTTTATTTTAAGTCAAGTGACACTGGCACCGTAAGGACAGATCAAATGGAATAAACAATTTTGGCAAAAATCCTCCAATCTCAGACTTGGTGATAAATTGACTATTCATTGCCAGTCTGATGACTTATTACATCATTCTGCATAATACATATTTTCTGAAAATTTTCACATTTGTGTTTCCTTTTTTTAAAGTAATAGTATCAATAATAGGCTCTGAGAAAAAGTAGACCTATCTTGTAATACACAGTTTCACAACTCAGCTTGCTGAATAATGATTATTGCTCTAGACTTTTGCGCTGTAACTTCTTTTCATTTCCTATAATATTTTTGACATGTTAAGGAAAACTTTTTTTTTTTAATATTCTCATGAGATATTTTTAGTAAAAACTGTTATTTTTCTCAGTAAGTGTTTTTAGTAAAAACTTATTTTTCGCAATTTTGAATAAGCTTCAAGTTTTTGAATCCATTTGATCTAGTTAGTTAAGGCAATATCTACAAACCCATAGCATGTAATAACATGAGACATCTAGAAGAATAATTGCAAACTTAAAAAATTAATCATCTTATTTTACATTGTTAATTTTAAGACATTGCTAATTTTAAGACATAATTGCTTTCAAGCAAATCAACTTTTACAAAGAAAATTAATTTTACTTACCCTAACAATTTGTGTATGCTGCCTCTCTACTGCTAAATGAAGAGGTGTTTGTAAATTCACATTCTGAAGATTCATATTTGCTCTACCCTATAATTAACAAGATGGTAGGTAAATAAATAAAATAATTTTAAAAAATGCTAAAACTAAATTACTCTAATATCTGCAACAAAATATCTACTGGTAACATATTGAATCACTGGGTAGAGTAACACCAATAGTAGAAAATATATTTTTTCATTATGAAGTGCAAAAAAAGAAAAATAATCTTAAATCTTGAAGCTGAGCAACCCAGTTGACATTTGAAAGGAATTGCTTGGAATTTAGATATCCCTTAAAAGGACGTGAAAAATATTTTGATCCACTTTGCTTCACTAGGGAAACACCTAATGCCAGGATTATGAGGAGGATGCTTTCCATTATATCACATATTGATCAATCAATTTCTTGTTTGTTGTTCTTTGTTTCCTCTAATTTCATAATTGCTTCTGTTCTGAACTAATTTATGACAAACTAGAATACATTCAAATGAACAAGGACACATGTTAAAAATGTGTGAAGACTATTTGACACTTGAGATTTATAATTTTTTTTTGCAACATAGTGGTAATTAACTCCTTCTAAACTAGTTGTGCATTAATGATATTTCTACTCCCTGAGAGGAATTGCCTAGGAATGGTGGTGTAGTGTATTGAGAATACGGCAAAGCACACTAGGGCTATCTGTCTAAGGAGAAGGATGCCTTCGTGGAGGACTTTCTAAGGGAAACTGGCTCGTATACATGTTACACATGGGGAAAACCACGAAAATGCCCATGCAGCCAACCCGTTTGCGGGATTCGAACCTCCGACCGAACTACCAGTGTTCAGCGATTTTACCACTCGGCCGCTGGTGGGCCAATTGCCTAGGAATGACATTACATGGTTATAGATTCTAGCCTTGCAATTCGAATTTGACATTATTGTGGGGCTATAAGTTGCTATTCAAAAGCTGTTAGGACTTTTAGCTGTTAAACTATTCCACTACAGCTTTCCCAGCATCTCTGTAACAGAAAACTATCCCTTTATCAATATCTTCATCTTTGGGAAAAAGTTAGAGGTCTGATAAATGGAGAAACACATGGTGATTTTTTCTGTACTCTAGATCCAAGAAAATGCTATTATTCAGCAAGTTAATGAAACATATATGTATAAAATTTGCATCAAAGGAATGTAGGACACTGGCAAAAGAGGGGACATTTCTGACATTATCAAGTCAATAACTTAGTGCTAGCAACACCTCATGTACACGTTTCCAGACTGTATGCCGTGGAAATAGACCTTCGCCATGGTGCTGTATGCTAATGAAAGAGAATGATGTTCACCAGAGAGCAGTGTGTATATCTCATTCATAATTACTAAATGAGCAGTTCTTTTAAATAGTGTCAGGCTGCATTTATGAGGAAATATGATGGTAGGAAACAATCAACAAAGCAGATGATTGCAAATATGGTGAAGAAGTTAAAGATAACAAGAAGTGCTCTTGATATTCAGGTAGGAGGAAAACCACCAATGTTGGATCCTTATGTGGAATTTCTCAAATTGTTTTCTTTCAGCCAACCTATCATGAAGCAGAAAAGACAATTTTGAAGCTTTACCACAATATCATTATCCAAGAGTTACAACCATAAATGGCATACAGGTTCATGTCTAAGGTGAAGATGATGAACTGATGGACATAACATAGTATTCAGAAGAAGTTTGATTTTATTTACATGGTTATGTGAACTCACAGAATACATGGATAAGGACTACAGAAAACCACCATGAGATCCAAGAAGTACCTATTCATTCGGAAAACACTGCTGTTTGGTGTGCAATATCTAGGTATCATACAACTGTTCCAATTTTTTTCCCATGTGACTTTGAATACTGCTTACTATTTCAGAATCTTTAGCAACTGTGTAAATCAACTTGATGCTGACAAGCTTCAAAAGAGCTATTTTTTAGCAAGAATGCAACATGTCAAATAACAGCATGCATGCAATCGAAAGCAAATTCTTTTTTGATGATCAGATTATCTCCTAATTTAAGCCTGCCAGATTTTTTCCTGTGAAGCACTTTAAAGGGAAAAGTTTATGCTAACAATCCACATCTCATACAGGAATCAGAAAATAACATTTGATGTGAAATTGCTGAAAGTTTTGTACTTTCACAAATACAAAGTGTCACATATGGCAATGCTCGAATAATGCTAGTGGGCATTTTTAGCATCTCCTCTAGATCAATATACTTCTCAAAATGCATGGTATGTAATCATATGTGCTTGTTCAAAATTTAATAAATAGTCTTTAAGACATTATCATGGTATTATTGTGGGTGTAGTATCAAAAGAATCAACATGTATTTGACAGATTTCAAAATAACTATGCTTATGTACAGAGATTAATAACCACAGCCTAGGTAAAATACAAAAATAATTTTTATCTTGTGTTATACTACCTGCTGAACCAATAATTCTGCAACTTCCACATGATTATTCAATGCAGCAAGATGTAAGGCTGTGTAACCATCATCTTTCTTTTCATCTACTACCCATGAGCGGGGAAGTTTAGAAAGTAAAATACGCATTGCACTGTAAAAGAAAGGCAAACAATTGATAAAAATTCTAAACACAAAATAAATTACATGTAAACAACAAGCATAAATTAAAAATTTGTCTTATTATCCCTAGTTTCAGAAAAATAAAATAAAAATAAATGTAACATTAGCCAAAATTTGTTTTTGGATTAACAACATTTTTACAAAGAATTGTCAATTTTGATGGTTTTGAACAAGTTCTTTTTCTTCAAGACATGCATTGCTAAGAAAGGAAATATTGTTTAAAAGAATCAAATGAAATTGAATGGATATAATGCCACCTATCAAGCAAAACTAACACTAAAATAAAGAAGAAAATCAACTGAATATTAAGGGGTTAAGATTTTTAAAACTACAGGATAAAATGGATCAGAATTAATAACATCAATCAAAGTTGATAAATTTTGGTAACTGAAGATTGTTTCAAAGAAACCCAATGCATTAATTAAAAAACAAAATCTTATTGAACTTATTTCTGATTTCCTTTCCCCAACTGAAGAAATTTTCTGAATAATTTTATGCAAACTGTAACTAAAACCTTAAATGGGTAATCAATGAGGATTAGACATAGAAAATTCATTTATTTACTTTTCTCCGACATAAAATTCATGCTCTCTAAGCAATATTTTAATGCATTCTTAATTAGGCTGATGCACGTTAAATACACTGATGAGGAATTTTACACAGTCCCAAATAAAATGAAAGTGACGGCCAGAAACAGAAGCAAAATGGAGTTGATCTAGTCTGCATGGGCAGTAAGGAAAAGGTGCTGCCACCTTTTCCTTACTACCCTTCATTTGCCAAGATGCAAGATTGATGTAGCATAAAAATACAAATATGCTGACACCATTTGTGTAATGCCCATGTGAAGGTCTTAATCATGGCACACAACCAGAACTCGCACACCTTCTTTCAAGTTCGTCATTGCTCACCAAGTACAAAGGTGCTCTGTCGAAAAAGTGTGGGCATCTTTATGAAGTTCAGTATCATGAATAAAATAACTCTTATTAAAGCTCCCAGGCCACCCATGTTAAATTCTTAATCTTGACAAATAATTGTCTGCTCTCATAAAAGCGCTGACATTTTTAAAACTTTTTATGAAATCATGCTGGGGGAGGGACATGAAAATTCCTTGCTTTTATGCTGCAAAGTCTAGAATTCGATCCAACACTTATGAATCTGTGATGTGCTAATGACAGTGGGTTAAGACACTGAGTTTAATATGATTACCATTAGTTTATCTTTTCAAAGATTTAACCACACACTAAAAAAATATTTTTAGTGTGTGATTAAATCTTTTTCTTTCTATACATTTCTTGTTTTTTTGCTGCATAAATTCTACAATTATAATTAATGTTTTATCTTTGTAATCTTAGCAATATATAATCCTGAAGGTTTCACAATTCTAGTTATGAAGTGAATGTTTTTTTTAATCAGTTCTGAATAAGCAACTAAACAATGCAATAATGTGATTTATTTTTATCAAAGTCTGAAAATGTTTAAATGAATTTCTTCAGGTGTTCTGCAAGTTTGTTCAGTGCCAAACAATTGCAACATAATTGGGAAAATAAATTTTTTTCTACAATAGCATAAAAAATTTCAGCTTGTTCCAGAATCCATTGATGTGTCCCATACTCTACGATTAGAAAACAGCTCATGATTTTGCTATACTCTTAAGTAGATTTTGTGGCAGTAGTCTGCAATATAACTGACTTTCATTTGAAGCTTAAATTGTGGTCACATTAAAACTTTTAGGAAGAATTGAATAATGTCATATGCAGTTCATACTTTATATCATACTTATTTTATCCTATTCATTAAATTTTATTTTGGACACGGATAAGAATATACACAAGAAGTAAAGTTAGAAATTTTGCAATCAACTAAATTCTGAGAGTTAGAAGCTTATTTATTCAGAAATCTGGATAAAATAAAGATAACATATATCGAGATAAATAAAATGACTTTTTAATACTAATTTAGGTTAAATGAAAACACTTTTGTGATATTAAACTTAAGAAGTTTTAAGCATCGTCACTTAGATCATCAATTTATTGTGGACATGATTTTATCACAAAGTGATAACAGTAAATACTATTCCCCCCCCCAGGTGTTTGAAAAACTTTTAAAGCAGAATTAAAATGATAAAGGTTTAAATCGTTAGGAGATACTCAAGAGAACAGGACAGAAGAGGCATTCGCCCAAGTAGTAAGTAAAAAATTAAAGGGAGGCCAAAGTACATTAACTACTACTACAATGAAAGTGATAAAAAAAAATTTGGTATGTACAGTTCTGAGATTTGCTTTTGTTAAAATCTATTAGCGCAGTTTTGCTGTGCTTATTATACTTATTTTCCTTCATCACACAGAGTTTTGAAGGACTATGATGATGTTTATTTTCTATTCAACAGTCCTTTAACTTAAAAACTGACTTTCTTTTTTACTTAATGTTCTATTAAAACACATTTGAACTACCCCTGTTACTCATTAAAAAGGAAAATCATATGGCGCCTACAATATGGAAAATCATCTGCTGACTTTTCATTTAATCATAAATTGCATTTGCCGACTTCCCACAGTAAGAAATAATACTTATTAATGGATACTACTTAGGTATAGTACCTAAACTGACAAGTATAAAAGTAATAAATGAATAATTGTGATACAAAACTGTCTTAGTACCACCCTACATAAAAGCTGGATATAACTGAAATGAAGCAACAATTAACAAAACAGTTTATATATAGAAAGAAAAAGAAGAACACCATATATATTGAATTGGTCTTTAAGGATGTGAGAAAGCTACTGAATATTTTAATTTAGTAACAAAAGGAAAGTTTTGTTAATGGTATAATACCAAGAACACAAAATAAACTACTTTTTAACTTATTCTTCGCTTCTTCTTGTACGGAAACTTCTGGAGAAAAATTAGCTTTATTTTATTTATATAAAATACTACAAAAATTACTTATTTATTATTTATTTTGTATATAAACCACACCAACAAAGAGAGTTAGTTGAACTGAGGAAACATAACCCCCCAAAAAGTAATTTATCATTAATAATTGCAGTTTCTGTGACCATCTTATAATTTTTCATTCTGTTAAAACCACACTTTTTCAGTCGATAAATTAAATTTCTTGAAGTACTTCCTCCACATTCAGTCACTCAAGTTAATGATTTCAATTCTAAACCTGTTTTTAGCAAAGTATTTAAAAAACATAGCTTATCATTTTAATCCCTTCTTTCTTATTTTGTTTAATATGTGAGGCTATAATTACTGCTTCCGTTTTTACCCCAAAGGAGCATTAGCCCTGAAGGGCTATTAGTCTGGAAACAGCATTTTGCGCCGGTTCACTATAAACGGGGTATCATTTTTAAATTGTTGCTACCAAATATTATCACAATGTATTATATTTAAAGAAATTAAATAACAGATAATCTGCATGAACTTATGCTTCACGAGCTTTGAATCTGTTTTATTATCTACTTCATATTTTGTAAAACTTTAACGAATTTTTTATTTATAAACTCAACGACTTCAAAGCAAGCAATGGCAACACTGCGCGGGGAAGGAAAAAAAAAAAAAAAATATCTCCAGCGCGCTAGAGTGTCTATCAGAAATTCTAAACATATGCTGTTTTTAAATGTTTTGTTATACTGCTGTTGAATTGAATTTTATGTGGTTTAAGTGCGAACAACATGATATTTAATAAATAAATGCAACACACAAAACTTTAAACGCCCCCTTTGAGCGTAATATAAATTCTGAAAGCTTCCAAACTTTTTTTTATTATTCTTTTATTTATTTATTCTTTCTATTTATAGGATATACCGTATTTACTCGCGTAATAGTCGCACTTTTTTTTTTTTTTTTTTTGCCAATTTTTCATTGAATCTGCGATGAGCTAATGAAAGTCTAGGTGCGACTATTATGCGGGGAAATCTACTGCACTATATTGTATTGTACACTTTTGATGATTTTTTCTGCTTCAAAACGAGGATGCGACTATTACGCGAGTAAATACGGTAGTTCAGAAAAATAACGCAATACGTTTTTATAATTTGAAGAAGATGCCTAGACCCCAGTAAAAACGCATAAAACTGTTCTATAAAAATGTGAAACTATGCTTGTATTCGATTTTGAAATAAAAAGAGATTAATTCCGACTGCAAAATGCTTAATGGGTATACATTTCAATTCTCCAGCTGTAACAAAACACAACTGCACTGGCGTTGCTCCAACGAATTTAGAATGTTATGATAAAATAAATTAAAGCCTTTTCGTTTTAAATAAGTCATTAAACTGATTTTAAATACAGTCCGCATAATAATTTTTTGTGACTGCATTTTCGGCGATTACAAACTTAAACTAACCCTGAAACACCAATCTTCTATCGGTTTCCTTTAATGACGTCATTCATTTGCCGAACCGCGTCCAGTAATTCACGGACGATGTCATACATTTAATGACGTAATTCAAAGTGTTCCCATTACGATCGTCATCAAATCAGCTTTTTCGAAGTCTGGATTCTACATTTGTTCTTGTTCTTCGAAGTCCCAGCTATTCGTATAATTATTAAAATAATTAATCCTACTTGGAGGGCAATGAGCAGTAATTCCATTTAACAGAAACGTTACAGCGACTCTACAGGAAGAGGTTATTCTTTAATTCCGGTAAAAATATTTGTTCAGATGAAATGAGTTTACAATCATAGCATAGCTATAATTTTATAACTGACATATAAGCTGCAGTTAATGTTTCTGAGAATTAAACCAGGGTTTCTTAAACTTTTCTCAGTCGCGACCCGTTTTTATGACTGAGATTTTTTCGCGATCCCCAGGACCCTATAATATTTACAAACATTTTGTGGGACCCCCATAAGTATTGCGCAAATCAGACACACGCGTGAGTAAACTGTCAATTTTTTCACCTGTCCTGTAATATACTATTACAGTTCTAGGTCATTAACTATAATTTCTAATTTTAAGA